TTTCTTTGAGCTCAGGAAGTAAACAACTGGGAGGCTTCAGGAAGTTCCTAAAACCGATCAGGTGTATCTGACTCCTCCCTCCCTAAGCACAAATAAGCAGTTAGGACTGCCGAGCTACTTGGAAGAAGCGCAGACCAGCCAAGCTGCCTCCATGAGGCAAGACTGTCCGAGCTGCCTGGAAGAGTCACCTTCCAACCTGTTGAGCTGTTTGCGCATTATGCAGTGGGCCCAGGTTACAGCTTTCGTGAGCTGTCACCCATGCTGGGAGAGCTTTGGTGATGCAGCAGTGTTTGAGTCACTTCTGCTCCTGTGACCCTTCACCCATGCTCCTGTAAGCAGCTCTGGTAAAACTCATTGGGTCACCTAGTAAGGTGGCATTCTTACTTGGCTCCCTATCTGAACAGACATTTATTCAGGTCTCCCCAGTCATCATCACACAACATGCATACACACATCTACACAGGCTAAGTTCCAATTAAAATCTAGTCTCAAAAAGGGTAGAATAATATTGAGGAAGCTTCTCTCATCTAAGTTCTAACCAGGTCAACTCTGCAGAGCTTATGAGATCACTGGGAGCTGGAGAGATGGCTCAGTGCTTAGGAGTGATGACTGCTCTTCAAGAGGGTCCAGGTTAAATTCCCAGTACTCACATCGACTAACTAACATCTGTAACTCCATTTCTAAGGGAAGCCAATGCCCTCTTCTCTTCTGGCTTCCACAGGCACCGCATATATGTGGTGTACAGACAGGAGATCACCGGATTCATTCAGGGTGATATAGACTCGGGGTGAGGTGAGGGACCTCTAAAGAACAACAGTCCAAGAGCCCAGCAGTCCCCATAACCAACATCGATCTGGACACCACCTTGGCTTCCTGAGCAACCAAATTACTTCACTTGTGCAAACAGACTTTAGAAGTCCCCTCAGTCTTCCTATAAAGAATTCAGTGTAGAAATCATTAGGTCCCTTCTCCCAAGACTGTTTGCTAGAAGATACAAGAAAATAAGCTTCAATTTTTGTTCCACCAAAAACTCTTTAGTAAGGCTCATGCTAGCAGCACAATTGGCCAAGCGTGGGATCCAAGGCTACTTGTTGGCTTTCCAAATGCAAGACTCTATGGCTGGTTTAGACACATGGTGGCTGGAAAAACCCCATCATAGGAAACAACTGGAAGCAGGAGGAACTTTCTGACAGCACAGTAACCAAAGGAATGGGTCTACAAGGAGACAGACTCCTAACTTGTGAGGGATGCGGAGTGCACCAAATACACCCTAGGGGAAAGATCTGGGGAGTCATGTCTAAACTCACTCCATCTGCCAACTATACTCACCCAAGACAGGGAAATGTGATGCCCAAATTAACTGTATGCTAACAGCATTTTAATTTACTGTCACCTTCTGGGTGCTTCAGTTTGGGCCACACAACCAACCAGAGGGGCCCAGGGTGGGGTTTTGGGGGAGTGATTTCTTATTAATAAAGAAACTGCCTAGACCCATTTGATAGGCCAACCCTTAGGTAGGCGGAGTAAACAGAACGGAATGCTGGGAGAAAGAAGCTGAGTCAGGGAGTCGCCATGATTCTCCCACTCCAGACAGACGCAGGTTAAGATCATTCCTGTGTAGCTCGTGGGCTACACAGATTAATAGAAATGGGTTAGATCAATATGTAAAAGCTAGCCAATAAGAAACTGAAACTAGTGGGTCAGGCAGTGTTTAAAAGAATAATTTCCGTGTAATTATTTCGGGTAAAGCTAGCCGGGTGGCGGGACACAGCCTGCCGCTCCGTATTTCAACAGAGTGGCACCCAACGTGCTAATGAACTCCACGTAAAACCTGAGAGGGCTTAAAAAGGAGAGAGAGAGAATTTAAGACAGCTTTTTGCTGTTTGTGGGTTGTGTGCCGCAAAGAAATTGTCCTGACTCAGCAGCAGGAAAAAACTGGCTGTTTTAAAATGCCGGCTTTCTGGGCTGTGCCGCCATTGCGATCTCTGTCTGGCTCCTGTGGGAGACAGAGCTTTTGAATGGAGCATTTGGAGTAAAGCTCTACGGCTTGCTTGATGGCAATGTGGACTGCTGTGTGCCTGGAACTGTGTGTGGCTCAGGGGCACCAAATGGCTCTGAGGCAGGAGCGGCTTGGCTCAGCTCTGCCATGCTGAACTGTGCTGGTCTCAGGCAGGAACTACCGTAATTACCATAAAAGCAGCACATTTAAGGTTTCAACTGGGCAGGACACAGGCGGTACCGTATTACCTGTACATGGCGCAACTTAAGTTTTTAAGAACTGCTTAACATTTTAAGAAATGTTCCTGGATAGTAAAAAAATGTTATAGATTCACAATAAAACAGATTCAGACATAAAAGACCACACTGTTGGATGAATGCACATAGACTTGAGAGAGAGAAGAAAAAGAATATAGAAAATAAAGTTAATGGTTTAAAAAAAAGGTAAAGTCTTTAAAGAGACAGAGTACAGATAGTTAAGAGATTAAAAGAAATAAAGAAAAATAAGCCACGTAAAAATGGAAAATTCACAGAGAGTCTGGATTATGTACATTGTGTTTTCTTTAAAATTTTTGACTGTGAAGGAGCTAAGTACAGAGAGACATTTCATTCTATGGGCTGCCAAGTGGAACCAAAACGGATATCATGAGGGTATGACTTCAGAATTTGGGTCTAAGGATATGATGCTTTGGAAAGGGTCTTCTTTTGTTTTCACAGAGGACCAGACCCTGTGGATTGCATCTATCCCGATATGGTATGATAGACCACGACCTCCCAAAAAGTTCCTGTGAACACCCTCAAAAAATTACTTCACTCAACTGGCAACTGAGATAAACCTGGCTCACAGGTTACACCCTAAATGATCTGATTAACAGCGCCCCCATTCAGCAGGAAGCAGTTTGGAGAGAAAAAACTGCACCCATGTTCCCAAAATATTGTTTGTAAATGTTCTTTTACATTTAAAGGGGGAAATGATATAGGTATGAGTAATTTGCATTGGTGTGGATTTTACAGTCAATTTTGTTATATGTATATGTATTTCTGATCTTGATTCAGGTATTGTGATTGTGTAGTTCATTTAAAAATGTAATGTATAATTAAGAAATATAGGTTAATGGTTAATCATCAATAATAGTCAATCTTGTAGTCATGTTAGTTAGATTTTCTAGATATATAGAGATACATTTCAGTTAGATAGACATTCTTCATATCTTTCAAAGACTGCAGAATATGGCATTTAATGTTTTAATAACTTAGGACTTTTCATGACAATGAGACATATCTGCTCCTGGTGGCACCAATCTACTTCGAGAGGAAGATGGGCATCGAAGAGGATCCTTATGGAGTTGGATAGCCATTTGGGCAAGAAACTGCTCTTGCCTGGACTGTTGCATAAAATGGACACAGAGAACCCGCAGAGAGAGGACTGCTGAACTTGCCTAAAGGTGAGACGGTCTTTTGGGGTTCATGACTCATGAAAGAGTCTGCGAGACATTCTGCAGGACACAGCAGATAGTGACTGAACTGTCTTTGAAATTTCCTGCTTCATGGAAATGTCTGCTGGATACTATGGGCCTGAAGGCTGAAGATGGATGCCCCAACCATACAAAAGAACTTTGGGTGACTGTCCAGGCAGCGAGATGTCTCTGTCATTTCTAGAGTTTTCTTATTTCTTGTTTACTTAGGTAGTATTATATCCTTCTGGAGTCTTTGATGGAGTTGAAGAATGAATAGATAGTTATAGTTTTCCTTAGTTATGATAAAAGATAAAATAGATATAAATATTGTAACTGTAATTCTTGCTTGATAACTGTTTTGCTATATGTAATTTTACTATGTTAAAGTTAAAGCCTTTCTTTTTTGTTTAAACAGAAAAAGGGGAAATGATGTGGGAGTAATTTCTTATTAATAAAGAAACTGCCTAGACCCATTTGATAGGCTAACCCTTAGGTAGGCGGAGTAAACAGAACGGAATGCTGGGAGAAAGAAGCTGAGTCAGGGAGTCGCCATGATTCTCCCACTCCAGACAGACGCAGGTTGAGATCATTCCTGGTAAGCCAGCTCGTGGGCTACACAGATTAATAGAAATGGGTTAGATCAATATGTAAAAGCTAGCCAATAAGAAACTGAAACTAATGGGTCAGGCAGTGTTTAAAAGAATACAGTTTCCGTGTAATTATTTCGGGTAAAGCTAGCCGGGTGGCGGGACACAGCCCGCCGCTCCGTATTTCAACAACCCAAGACAGGGAAATGTGATGCCCAAATTAACTGTGTGCTAACAGCATTTTAATTTACTGTCACCTTCTGGGTGCTTCAATTTGGGCCACACAACCAACCAGAGGGGCCCAGGGTGGGGTTTTGGGGTGCCAGGACATGCTTTACCTCTTACATGTCTGATGTGGTGTGGATTGTATGGGGTGAGTTTATTCTGCACGAGTGAAGTTGGGGGTGTGGGTGGTTTGAAGTGTGTGTGGTGAGGAACGGGGCATGTGTTGTGTATATATAACAAGTGTGGCACAGATGTAGGGTGTGTATACAGAGTAGTGTGTGTGTGTGTGTATGCATGTGCATATGTGTCAGTGTGAGGGGTGGGCATGGTAAGGGCAAGGCCTAAGGTCAGAACTTTTTCCAACCTTCCTGGTGCCCTGGTGGCTGGACCAAATCTGCTCCATGAGTGTAAGGAAAACAACAAAGGGCTTCTTTACTGGGACTCCCATGGACAGAGGCAGATGATCCTACAAGTCCATAAATTGGGCATGTCACCTTGCAGGCCCTCTGTTCAAAAGTTCCCCAATTCAAGCCTGCCATTCCTCAGCCCCTGGGACCAGGATCTTTATGCAGTAAATACCCCGGTGCCCTAAATCTGGGCAGCTCTGAAGCCTGGCTCTCCCAGTCCACTCCACCCACACAGCTGAGGTCACCAGGCCCAGCCTCTTTTGCAACTTTCCCAAGTATGTGCAGAGAGAGGAGGAAAACTCAGAGGGAAGTGGCCTCTTACCAAAGCCTTTTACGTGCTCAACACTGGCCAAATTGAAACTGCCGCTCAGGGGAAGAGAGATCCAGACCAGAACTCCCGCCTGTGTGAGGTGAGTGCCCTGCAGTCGTGGCTGTGAGTGTCCTGGCAGCCTCTCTGTCCTTCCAAGTGCCAGCCACTCCTGAACCATCTGGGTGTTGGTGAAGAGGATTAGAAACAACGGTGAATGGTGCAGGGATGAGGCTAAGAAATGCGGCAGGTGCAGGGTTTTACTCCAGCCCGAAGACCCCTGCTCTACAGAGAACGTTCCTGGGTGTGGTGGAGAAAGGACTTCCCTCCCAGTCACGGGGAGTTGGGGCCCAGTTCGGGGATCTGTGGCAATGCTAGACAGGATACAGCAGCTCAGTCACAGGAGGATAGTGCTACACCCCTAGATCTGCAGTTTGCCAGTAACTGGAGCCTTCCAAGAGGGCTGCACCCTGAAGCATCTGGTGTCAAACTGGCACATGGACAGGGTGCCTTCTGGGATGTCGATGTGGGGGCTGTCAGAGAAAGATAAGCTTCTCCCAAAATAGGAAAACATCCCTCTTATGCTAAGTCATAAGTATTTCTTCTGGCAAGGAGCTAAAATGCATGAGCCAATGAGTTGGACAGACCCGGATTCTACTCTAAGTGGGCTACTCATCTAGTGTGTTGTTTGTTGTTCTCTCTAACCGCCCCCCCCCCGTGTGTGTGTGTGTGTGCACGTGCGCGTGTGTGGGCTTGCGTGTCTGTGTGTCTGTGTCTCTATGTGTGATGGGTTTTGTATGCATGATGGATGTGCACGTTTACCACAGCGCATGTGTGGAGGCCAGAGGACAACTTTGTGGAATTGGTTCCTCTTCTTCCACCTTCACAGGAGTTCTGAAAATCAAACTCAGGTCACCAGGCTGGCATGACAAGCACCTTTACCTGTGAGCCATCTTGCTAGCCCACCAACTAGTCTTTGATTCAAGTATCCACTGAGCTATAATAATATTTTGTAAAATGCAAGTGTTCTATCATTGCTAGGCATTGTGTATTGATTAAAATGATTGATTTGGGCTTATTGATCAATCCCCCATCACAAAGAGCCTATGGAGAAACGGGTTTCTGAGTATCCTTGGACATGTGCTATTTTTTTGCATACAGGTATATGCTACATGGGTGTGTGGATGGGCAAATGCATGGATGGATGAAAGACTCAATGCATGCATAGATGCATGGCACATGGGTGGATGCATCACTACTCAGAAATCTCCAGATTCCCAGCTTCAGTCACCACGCTTTAGGGACAGGGAGATAGAGAGGTAAGAGGCACTGTCTAGGGTACAGGCAGTCTACTTGGAGAATCAGGACAAAACACCTCCCCCAAAGATCTTAAAGAATTAGAACGCTGAGTCTTCTGTGGGTGTACTTTGTGGAGAAAGCAGGTTTAGACCTGCAAGGATCTGAGTGGGTGAGGCAGACTCTCAAGTGATCCCGGCAGGCAACAAGCCTCATGTTCCTGGGAATCTCACTAAACAGAAGCCTCTACACTCAACCTGTAAGTCCCACTACATTTTTTTAGATGGAATATAGTATGGGGTGCCAGAGGGAGAAGAGAAGAAGCTGGGGAAGGTTGTATACTGGGCAGGGAAACTGGGCCTGCTGCAGAATTCTTAGCTATCCCTCTTCTCTGGTCTCCCTGACAACTTACATGGGACTCACCCAGGACAAGTAAGGCAAGAGGCTGTGCTGGGTCCTTCCTGGAGCCAGTGGGAAAGAGAGGGAAGGGACGTGGAAAGGTGAAGGCTGAGACCCTCGAGAGTTCCCGCAAGCCAGTCGCAAACCCAGGTACTCTGCAGCAACTCAGTCTTCCTGGCTTTGCAGAGAAACTCAGGCAAATGGGCTGGGATGTGCTGCGGGCCAAGAGCAGAGAAGAGGTGGTCCCTCTGGAGTCCTGCTGTGTGTGGGTTGGGCTGGCTGGGCTGGTCCTGCATTCCAAGATTGCTACTCACTGTTCCGTAGCAGTGAAGATGACTCAGCCTTGCTGATGGGGAGATTCCCTGCCTTCCTCTTTGAAGCTCGAGGTCCTGCAGTGAGTAGAAAGAGGCTGAAATGGACAACGTGGGTATAGTCCGGCGAGGGGTAAAGGACGCTTCAGCTACCATCTGAAACTTGGGAGTAGTCAGAGAGCCACCACTGCTGTCTGCCCCCAAATTAACCAACCTTAGCACCGGACCAGCCTGGGTCACTCTCTGAGCCAAAGGTCAAGGCTATTTTTAGACGTCAGGCTCATAAAATGTTCACCCTTTGTGACATGGGGCAGAGGAGTCTTTGGTGGCAGCACAGTTTCAGGGCACATGTGGAAAGAGGATGGGGACAGTGAAAAGGGTGGAGATGTCACGAGGATCAGAAGAGGCAAGCGAAACCCAAAGGAAAGACACCAACCCCCCCCCCCCCGCCCCGCCCCATCATCACCCCTCCCAGTGCCTGGTGTTGCAGAGGAATTGAGCATTTTTGTAGGTGAAGAAATCTACCTCCGGTGAGAGGAGCAGGCACTCAGGGTATGTCTGGCTCTTTCCTAGGAGCCTAGTGTTGCCCAGTACTAGACCAAGTGACTTTGACCTCCCAGTCCTATGGGCGCTCCATGCTTGTAGTTTGAAATCAACCATGGTAGACAGGTGTGCAGCATCAAAAATAGCAACCACTGTAAATTGAGTCTCAGGACCTCCTCTACCAGCCCCACCCCACAAAGGTGTCCTGCTGTTCCCTGGATCTTTCCTAACCTTGTGATCCTGCTATGCTATCATAACATGACACACACATGCCCTCTGCAGATGGAGCCACAGCCAGAAGTTGTGTCCATTTTATCCAGGAGGGAGTGGAGACCCCAAAGCTAGTAATAGCCTAGGCTCAAGGTCATAGATGGGCGGGCACATTAGGGAAGAGAGAGGGCTCTCTGACCCCAAAAGTCATGGTCATTGCCTGGTATGAGACAGTCCCCTCCCCTCGCTAGTCACAGTGAGTCATCCGAAGAGGAAATCACACTCAGTCACCCAGTCAGTCACACATGCTTCACACAGAGAGGTTAAGTCAGGGCAGAACTGGGGGAAAGAAAGAGGTTAAGTCTGCTTCTAATATTCTTAAATTACAGAAACTGAGATTGCAGAATAAGTTTTAAAAATACGGACACTTGAGACAGAATGAAAACTCCTAGCCCCTTCTGCCTTCTTTCCCATCTCTCCACAGACAGCATGCTTCTTTCTGTGTTTCCAGGACACATGTGAGTGAGGTCAGACACGGAGACACACTGATGCTTATGCCTGACAATCGGGCTCAACCACACTCTGTCAAACGTTCACGCTGCTTTTCCTTTTCTACCTAAATTACGGTGTGTGCGTGCGCATGTGCAGGTCTTCACTTCATCCTTTTTTAAATGATCTGCTATTTCAGAATATACATGGATTGGCATTTGTGTAGGAATTCTGCTATTAAAAGTGGCCATGATTTTGGGAGTGTATGGGGTAGGGTTGGGAGCATCGGAAGGGTCGAAGGGTCGGAGGGAGGGGGAAGGGTAGGGTGAAATGGTATAAATACAGTACACGTATATGAAATGTTTAATTGGTTTAATTGTGTAAAAAGTAAGCATGTTGTTGGTGGACATGCAGGTAGAGCAAACATGTGCTCTGACAGGTCCTTCAGCGGCCAAGCTGCGTTAGCCTCGTTCATCTCCACTTACGGGCAAAGTCTCTGGCCACAGTGGTACACTTTACAGTCCTAGATACTTGGGGGTCTGAGGCAGAGGACTGCTGGTTTGAGGCCAGTCTGGGCAATGACATGAGTCTCCACCTCAAAAAGGTGTGAGGATGGGGCTCTATGACCGAGTATCTGCCTAGCAGGCTCCTGGTTTCAACACTTTTTCTAGTACTAAAAAATAAAAGCCTGGGTTATCGGTACCCGAGTTGCACTCACTATATGTCTCATTGTTGTGACAAAATGCCAGCAAAGCAATTTGGAGAATTCAGGGCTTATTTAGGCTCACAGTTTGATAGAACAATTCATCATGGATGGGGGATGGCATGGCAGCAGGAACACAGGGCAGCTGCTCACACTGCATCTGCGGCCAACAAGCAGACAGATGAATGTCAGTGCTCAGTGTGTATGGTGTTTATTCATATTCATATGTATGTATGTGTATGTATGCGTGCATGTATGTATTGTGTGTGTATCACGTGTGTATGTATGTATCATGTATTGTGTATGTGTGTATGTATATGTGTATTGTGTTTATGTGTGTATGCATGTATTATGTATGTGTGTATGTATGTGTGTATACATATATTTGTGTATGTATATGTGTGTATATATGTATTATGCATGAATTTATGTATTGTGTATGTATGTAAGTATGTGTGTATATATACATATATGCATGTATTCAATATGTATATCTATTTGTTCCGGGGTCCTAGACCATGGAATGGTGCGTCTATATTGAGGGTGTATTTTCCCACCTCAATTAACTCAGTCTAGAAACTCACTCACAGATGTACCCAGACGTTTGTCTCCCAGGTGATGCCAGATCCTCCCAAACTGGTGATCCGTAACAGACAGTCTCTAGAACTGAGCCTAGATCCAAATCTCAACTCCAACCCAGGCTACACTACAGGGTGTGTGTTGTTAGGAACTCCCAAATTAGCTTCTGAAAAACATCTAGTTCTTAGTAAAACAGGAATACTAATAGTGCAGACCCCACATATATTTTGTATGCACTAAAATGGCTAACACTTTAAGGCCTTACCACTCTGAAGAAACCTCAGTTTGTGCCAGTTAACGTATCACAACACTACATCAAGCACAATAACACACTAACTCATTTAACCTACACAATGTGCTACTTATTTGCATATTTTCAAGGCCCTCAGCACAATGTCCGACAATAAATGTCAGCATATAGAGTGTGACATACCACGGCAATGTGCGTGGTCTGTTCCCTCCACCTCCGCACGATGCGGGTCCTCACGTACAGCTCCTGTTCAGCCACCCCAGGTCCCTTGCTCTAACAGAGCCTCTTCATCCCCCTGGCTGCCTTTACCCAGTACACCCAAGGCTTTGTTGAACACAACAAATCTGAGCCCAGTGCCTGCTGTGTCCATGTGCTCAGAACCACGGCTTCCAGCTCAGGTTATCTGAAGACTCCACGGCACAGATGAGCTTTCTCTGGCCTCCCATCCAAGCCCTAGCTCATCCAGTTACTACAGTGTGGAGTTACGTGAGTGAGTTATGAGTAACCTGTCCCCTCCCGTATTACACACCTTGTTTGCTAGGGATGGAAGCCTTTTTCAAGCGGAGTCAGCAATGTAGCAGTACTGAGCCGTATTCCCAGTAGAGTGACCCTTTTCTGAGCCAGTGAGGAGAGCCAGCTGCACAAAGGCTGGTACCACCGTCAGCAGGTGCTCAGCCATTGCCATAGCTTTCCCATTTTCTGCCTCCATTTTGAAACTCTAAGTCCTTTTAAGATATTCATTGGTCTTTAAGATGTTAACACACGGTACCAAAGTGTTAGGAAACAGCACTCCATTGCTCTCGGGCCCCTTGAAAAGAGATAACTAATGCTCAAAGACCCGCCCTTTTTCTCAGCCACTTCTGGGCGACTTGCCTTTGTAAGCAGCAACATTGCTGCAGTATGCCAACCCTGGTTAGCGTCGTACATCCCTGGGAGATGGGGGATTTGAATAAGTAGCTAGAAGAAGAATGAATGGATGGATGGGTAGATGGATGAATGAATAGATGGGTGGATGGATGGATGGATGGATGGATGAATGGATTGATGGGTGTGTGGGTGGGTGGATGGATGGATGGATGGATGGATGAATGGATGGATGGATGAAATGGGACAGGCCACCTCAGTCTTGCTCCCCTGAAGTAAACCAATCACCTTTTCCATTCTCCATCCCCAGAATTTTTCTGTTTCATTCTTTGCACACACACACACACACACACACACACACACACACACCCGCACACACCCGGAGCCTCACTTCTTCAGCCCCACCATGTTGTCAGCTCCATACCTTGTCTGTGTCTTGGGAAGACTTTCTAGTGTTGCCCTGCCCCTGTTCCTTCTTCCCTGATATTCCAGCAGTAGGTCCTGTGTGTTTCATCCCAGATGCTACCAGTGTCAAGTTCAGGGCTTGCATGTATCTCTCCAGGGGAAAGGGGTAATTTGTTTATATTCAGTCGGGCATTTGTAATTGGACTTACCTATTTTTCTATGTGCACATTTTGTATTTCATGGGAGTTGTGTATATGGTGCTGCTCCAGCATTCCCAAAGCCCTGGATTCAGTCCCCAATGCCGACAAAAACAGTAATGCAATTGTGATATTAGTTGACTCTTAGCCAACATTGCACACATAATTTAGCAACAACTTTTCACTCAAATTATAGAGCGTGAATATTTTCCCACACATAATAAAATATTTCAAATACTCCATTCCAATAACTACTAAGTAATTCGTCATGTGTCCTGGCCCAACTACTTTTTCACTATGGAGTATTTATAAGCAAGGCTGGAAGGATGGCCTTGAAATCTTTCCTCAAGTTTCTGGTGATTTCTCTAAGAAAAATTCCTAGAAGTAGAGGTCAGAACTATTTTGAGGCTCTCCGCACGTGCTGCCAAGTAGCTCTCCAGAAGCATGTACCGATTTCACCCCTTCCAGCTTCAGAAAAGAGCCCTGTGATTCTGCAAGGGCAGTGCACTTGTGGGGGAGGGACATCCAAAGCCTCTAGGCAATCCCGACAATGGACCCCTTGTCCTGCCCACCCCATCCCCTCTTCCCACGCTGGCTCTAAGCGGTGCTGTGTGCGAGGTCTCTGTTCAGAGCTGTCCTGCTGTTTGGCACTCGGGGCTACCTCCCAGAGCAGGACCCTAAAGAACTGAGGGGTGAGTGAGCTGTCAGTCTTGCAACTGTAAAGCAAAGGGAAGGATGTGTCCGGGATGCTGAGTCACATGTGTCCGTCAGGAGGACAGCCCCGCTGAAGTCCTTAGCCCAGGACAGAGATCCTGATAAACCAGAGGAAAACAGAGCTCAGATGTGAGAGTCACAGGATGCTACACGCTGTTTGGGAGGTGTCGTGGGGACACATGTCGGAGGGCGGCAGAGACTGGGTGCGGAGGGTTAGCCTTAGTGACCATGGCCACAAGCAAGACTAGCTAGTGTGAAAATGACTTCTGTTTTCCCGCAGGCTTGATGCCGCTCATGAATCCCCGAAAGAAAGTGGACTTGAAACTCATCATCGTTGGTGCACTTGGGTAAGTCAAGCCCGGCTGCCGTGTGCTCGCTGATAAACAACTTTACTGCGGAGCAGTGAGGCCTCCAGGCTGTGCTGCCACCTCCAGGGGACACTTTCTGAGTAAGGGGGCAGCGAAGTGCATCCTGCTTCAAGCAAGGAAAAGTTCTCGGTTTGAGTCCAGCTCTGTAGTAACTGGCTCTGTAGCAATTCAGCATGGCTGGGTCCTCCATGGCCTGCCACACCCAACAAAAATCCGAGCACAGTTGTGGGACACCCAGCCTGATCCAAACTGTTCATTTCAGTTGGTTTCAGCTCCTAGAAACTACTCCCAGTCCTTTGCTCCCCAAAGGGTAGTCTCCAGACCATACAGACTAGAAATTCAGAATCTGAGCAACTCTCTCTTGAGACACTTGAGCCCCTCCTAGGGTGTATACTGTGGTCTTTCTGTGCCCCGCCCCCATCTCCCTTACGTCAAGTAACTCATCTATCAAAGCCCATTCTTAAGCTTTGGTTCAAAAAAAAAAAGAAAAAGTAAAGAATTTAATTCAAAGACTCAAGGAAGGGCCACAGTGCAAAGGTCATTGTAATGTCCTGAGAAAGACATAGGCGTGTGTGCATGTGTGTGTGTTTGTGTGTGTGTGTATTGGTATGCATTTATACATATGTGGAGTATTTTTTTTTCCTCAGTGTTGGAAAGACCTCTCTCCTTCACCAATATGTACACAAAACCTTTTTTGAAGAATACCAGACCACCCTGGGGGCCAGCATCCTCTCCAAAATCATCATTCTGGATGACACCACTTTGAAGCTCCAGGTAAGCAGTCCCCTCCGCCTCTGCAGTACACACTCCTGAAAACTGCCCGCTCACATAACAACGTGTACCAGAACTGGGAAGGCCTGGAGCAGGCCAGTGGAGCACAACTCCCAGCCGACCCCAGTCTGTTCACTGAGCACAGACACACCCTTGTTCATCTACATAGCAGAGGTGAACAATGTAACCGAGACAGAGGACCTACAAACTCAAAAGATACTAACTGTTGGGGGCTGGGGTAACAACCCCCACCCTGATAAGACAGACAAAAAGTCAGAGCTAAGAGCTGGGTGGGGGGGTGAGTAGGAGCTGTGCTGTCTGGGTATGGAAAGACGGTGCACACCTCCTCCCACTCACCATCCAGAAATGAAACTTTTAGCAGGACACAGCTTTGCTGGGTTTCCCTTCCGTCTCTCATCAAAGCCTGGTGGTGCTACTCTTCCCCTCCAGATCTGGGACACAGGTGGTCAAGAGCGCTTCCGTTCCATGGTATCAACATTCTACAAAGGTTCCGACGGCTGTGTCCTGGCATTCGACGTCACTGATCCAGAGTCCTTTGAAGCCCTGGGTATCTGGAGGGATGACGTCCTGGCCAAGATCAACCCCATGGAGCAATCATATCCCATGGTGGTGCTTGGGAACAAAATCGATCTGGAAGACAGGAAGGTACTGTGTGTTTGTTCGTTCATTCATTCATTCATTCATTCAACCAACTGAATGTAACGACTGCACTCCAGATCTGTGTTAGGTCTCACACGGTGCTACGGAGTCCTCCCTTCAAGGATTCCACAGCCTAATAGTGGCAGTTACGGTGCAATGAGGCCAAAGCAATGATAGCTACGCACTGTGGAGATTTGGCGATCAGAATGAACTAAGTCTAAGTCCAGAATAGAGAGCTAGCTCCTAGAAGATGCGGGTTCTCGACTAAAGAAACAGTGAGATATGAGAGATACAAGTGGCAGGGAGTAGGAGAATTAGGACCTCAGAGGAGCCAGGAGTCAGATCTTGGTGGAATTTGATTTAATCTCAGAACAGTATTTCTGCTTAGAGTCACAGAGGGATCTAAAAGTATCAAATTTTTGACCTACAAATTTTATAGATAATTTAAAATTTTTTATTGTTGAGCAGGGCAGTGGTGGTGCACACCTATAATTCCAGCACTCGGAAGGCAGAGGCAGGCGGATCTCTGTGAGTTCGAGGCCAGCCTGGTCTACAAGAGCTAGTTCCAGGACAGGAACCAAAAAGCTAAGGAGAAACCCTGTCTCGAAAATCAAAAAAAAATTTATTGTTATATATTTGTGTGTGTGTGTGTGTGTGTGTGTGTGTCTGTGTGTGTGTGTGTCTGTGTGCCTGCGTGTCCAGGATAGTTGAGACAACTGGTCTACCCCATGACTGCAGTGGCCCCACTTGCATGAGTAGTAGCCCTCACAGGGCTACTGAACAGAAAGTTCTTTCAACCTTTACTTTACCAAAAAAGGAACAGAGATTGTCTTAATTTGTAAAAATTAAAACAAAGGTATTTTGTGCCAAATGAAGCCCTCCCCCCCAAAAAAAACACCTGAAGGAGCGGTTAGAACCACATTCTCTTGGTATTTCTAATGGAAAAGCATTGATGCGGAACTGAGTCATTGTGTTGGAACTGGGTTTTTCAATGGTTCAAATAGAAAACCGCAGGAGAAATGAACCAAAACTTAGTACCGCCAAGTATGGTGTGGACAGGAGGAGGGAGGGAGGCAGAAGGGGTACTGCAGCTGCACTCACAGAGAGGAAGGTCCCTGTTCAGAAAGGAAGACATATTTGATTTGGGCATCCAGAATCTGAGAAGTTTGGAGATGCTACCTCAAGCCGTTAGGGAACTGGCAAGCTTTGAAATACCTAAGAACAAAACTTCATGGGAGAAGTACGAGCTGGAAACAAGTCTCCGGCTCTGTGTGGCTAGTTCAGGTTAGTAACAGCATCCGTCAAACATCCTGTCTCAGACAATAACCCAGGAACCCAGGTCTCCCTGTCTTCCCACACTGGGCCAGCTGCAGGGGAGACTTCACATTCCCCACCACTTAGGTCAGATAGCTGCTCTGGGATCTAGTCCTGTCTGGAGTGAAGCAGAAAGAACAAGAAGTGGCCAGGGAGCAGGACAGTTCTCATTTTGTGGGACTTTCGTGGTGTAGCATTGTGTTCTCTGGCTGGCAGGTGTGGTAAGTCCCTCTTCTATGAATAGGTCCTTTTGGTCCTTAGACCCCTAACTGGGTGACATTCCATGGTGCCTAAAAGAAACAAGTGTCTTGCAGTCTCCTGCTTTCTTCCCTCAGCTTCAATCAGTCATCTTAGCTCCAACATGACTGTCCCTGCATGGAGCCCACGCCTAGCCTAGGCATACTCAGGCACTCTGGACATCTTCTAAGGAGTTAGTTCTCTCTCCACCTCATGAACTTTCTTTCATCTTGGAACCTTCAGGCATGTGCCACATACCACCAATCTGTCACACTCACCAGGCTTCAGAGGCCATATGTTATGATCAACCTCAAGGCCCTCTGTCAACTCTTATGGGAGGCAGGAGTAATTTATACTGACAACACAGCTCTCTCCAATGAATGCTATCCAGTCCTTCCTGCCAAGCCTTTTGTGTCTATGCTGTGGGTATTAGTGTCATCTAAAAGAGTCTTCATCACGAACCCTTGGAGCCATGCATGGTCCCAAGTTCGCCCCAATGCACATGTGAAGTCTATTGGATTACAATGCTGAGATCCAAACGTCCATTTTAACATCTCCTTTCATGCATCCACAAGTTGAGGGAGTTCAGGAAAAGGAGGCCAGAGTTTTCTCAGTCAAGTAAGAGGTACCACCCTCCAGTGAGGAAGGAAACCAAAAAGGAGGCTTAGGAATCATGGTAAAGGTTGACTATTTAGAATCTCTCTAAATTTCATGGACTCCAAATTAATACAATTTAGGCTGGATTCTGATTACTTGATTAAATCCAAACACAAGAGGATGAGCTGATGGAACAAGGACAAAAATTGATGAAACACAGAGGGCTAGGCTGAAGGAGGAGGCTGTGAGCTTGCAGGAGCAGAAGCAGAGTGTGTTTCCACAGCCCAGCTGGAGCAGATGCTAGGACCAAGCAAGAGAATCGGAGGGTTGGGGTGGGAGGGCTCTGAGGAAGCTGGAGGAATGGGGAGGGGCAGGGCAGTTGCAGCATCAGCTTTTAGAGAGCAGGGTAGGATGGGGATGCAGAAGATGAAGAGAGAGCACGCTGTGGTCACAGAAGGGAAGGCTAGATTTGTATTTGCATCCAATTCTGTGAAGAAGATGGAGACGTGCAGTGACTGTTGGCAGAAAAGGAATTCTGGCTACCGTGAGTAGCGGCAGCCACTGTTGATGGAGAAAGGACGAGGGTTGCAAATGTTCAATGAATGGGAGGTGCCTGGCTGGGTGAAGGGCAGGTGACACCTCATAAGACAGTTGTTCTGAGCCACCAAGCACGGGGAGGTTGGGGGAGACATGACAGACGGACACTGAGCTTTGCTTTAGAGAAGCAACGAGGCACCAGGCAAGCCAAACCCCTCCATCATCTATGGAGAGGCAGATACGGAAATGACCTCAGTGGATATGGTGAGAGAGAGATGATGGAGACCCAAGGAGAAGCCAGGGTCAGCCAAGTGGGGTGGGTAGAGGATGATTTGGGGAAGATGAAGGGAGTTTGTCTGTCAGGAAGGAGGCCCAGAGGCGGGGTCTGGAGGGCGATGGCCTAGTGGGAAGCAGAGGTAAGAGGTACTGAACAAGGAAAGGGGTTCAGGGAAGGGAAAGTGGGAAGAGAAAGCAGAGAGACTGACCACAAAGACCCCACACTGTTAGGACTAAGAACCAAGGAGGGGCGGCTGCTACCCTCGCATCTCCTCGCTCTGATGCCAACTTAGCTGTTTGTCAACCCCTGGTTGGGATGAGGAACATGAAGACTAGCCAAGTGACTATCCAGGGAGGCTTGCACTCACTGGTGCAAAGCTGAGTGGTTAGGCACCAACTCTTTCAGCACCCCAGCTGAGCAGCCCACCAATGGTCTGCCATATTCCCGGTGTGCCCTAAGTCCACTCCAACCTCTTCTCCACTGTGGAAACCAGATGGATTTCCTATATTATTTGAGGATTAAGGGAAATATTGTGATTGTATACACCTTAGGGACAGGCCTGGAAAAGTAGATTTTCCTACTTTGGCTCTTCTTGTTGTTTGAGAGAGGTTTTCTCTGTGTAACAGCCCTGGCTATCTTGGAAGTTGCTCTGTAGACCAGGCTGGCCTCGAACTCACAGAGATCCTCATACCTCTGCCTCCCAAGTGCTAGGATTAAAGGTGTGCACCACCACTGCCTGGCTTAGTTTTTCCTACTTAATTATAGGAAAATAAATACATTGATAAACTTGGGGAGGAGGAAATTCTGTACTCAAGTGATGATGATGGTCCCACAACAGTAGGCATATACTTAAGTGTAGTGGTATATTATTTGTATTTTGATAAATAAATCTTGCCTGAAGACCAGAAGCAATGATAAAGCCACTAGAGGTCAGGCAATGGTGACACGCACCTTTAATCCCAGGATTTGGGAGACAAAGTCAGATGGATCTCTGTGAGTTCAAGGCTACCCTGGCTTACACAAGATCAATGAAGAAATAAATCCAGGTGGTGGTGGCCTACTCCTTTAATCCCAGTCCTAGGGAGTCACACACCCTTAGTCACAGCACTGGACGGAATATAAAATGTGAGGAGAGAGAGGCTTAAGCTGTTTAGTCTGCTGTTGCCCAGCCTTGGTAGAGGTAAGACTTCTCTGGTGTCTTGGCTGCTTTGCTTTTCTGGTTTTCGGGTTGAACCCCAATTTCTCTCTCTCTGAGTTTTTATTATTTGTGCTACACTTAATGCCCTGAATCATATGCTTAATTATGACTACAATGTTGTTATATGTAGTGTGTATCTTACTAAAATAAATATATATGCACATATTTATTTGCTATATATATATATATATATATATATATATATATATATATGGCATATAGCCAGAATGATTTGAAAGAAATGACTGCCTTACTTTTCTTAAAAAAGAAAAAAAAAAGAAGAGGAAAAAAAACCTTCCACAGAAGCCAACAGTGGGAAAAGCTTGATTCTTGAGAAAGGGGCTCTAACATCTGAGCTGCAGAGATTTATTCACTGGAGCTTTAATGCTCAGTTCCACGTCCAAGAGTGAGTTCTGACCTACCACCAATGGAACTGGGATGGTGTTTCCTACAATAGTCTTATTCTTAGAGGATTGCTAGCTAGTATCATATATGCTAATTCTTTAAAGTTTTATTTATTCTCATTTCATGTCTATGAGTATTTTGCTTACATGCATGTAAGTGTACCACATACACGCAGTGCCTCCTGCAGAGGCATTGGATGCCCTGGGACTAGAGTCATAGTAACTGAGCTGCCGTATGGGTGTTGGGAATCAAACCCAGGTCCTCTGCAAGAGCAGCAAAGGTTCTTAACTGCTGAACCACCTCTCCAGCCCCCAGAAATGCTAATTTTAAATTTATATAATAATCATTTTAAATATAGTTGAGGAAAACGCATCAAAACCAAAGCTATGTAAATGGAGGCCAATATGACAGCTCAGCAGTAAAGGCCACAGACCTTAAGAAGCCAGAGTGAAGTGGGCTCTAATTCTGGCAGGTCCATGTTCAAATCCTGCCCAGGCTGTGTTCTGAGCAAAGGTCATTCTCCAGGTCAGTGGTTCTCAACCTTCCTGATGCTGCGATCCTTTACACAGTTCCTCATGTTGTGCTGACCCCCACCCCCAAACATAAAATTATTTTTATTGTTACTTCATAACTGTACTTTTGACTCTTTTATGAATTTTGATGCAAATACCTGTATTTTATGATGGCCTTAGTGACCCCTATGGAAGGGTCATTCAACACCCAAAGGGGTCGGGACCCACCAGTTGAGATCCACCGTTCCAGGCGCTCATCTGTAAAATGGCATTGGCAACACCCACCTCAGACAGTCACGTTAGGAACTGAAAATATAAAATATGGAGCTGCAGACAGAGGAGAGGCTCTCAGTTATCAAGAAAGGCAGTTGCCGTGATCCTGCGGCAGGGCAGGAAGGGATGGTGTTGGCGACAGAAAATGGAAGAGAAAATAGAGATGATCAAAAGCTGAGGGTTGGCCTCACTTTCTGACAAATGGCTCTCAGTCCTACACAAGAGACCTCACTCCCTCGGGTGCTAGTCCCTTTTGATCTTCTCTTCTTAAAATGTCTATGCATGTGTAGGGGGCAGGCATGTGTGCGTGTTGAGGAAGGCGTTTATGCCCCTGCATGGGCAGAGGTCAAGGAGGCCATCAGCTGTCCTACCCTGTCGTGAACCTCCTGGTTCCCTTGAGACAGAGTCTCTCATTGCACCGAAGCTTGCCTAGTTTGTGAGGCTGACTGGTCAGTGTCCTCTCAGGACCCCCCTCTCTCTGGCTCACAGCACTGGGGTCTCAGGCGTCTATGGACATACCAGCTTTTATGAGGGTGCCAGGGATTTGCACTCAGGTCCTCATCCATGGGCAGGGAATGCTCTTACCCACTGAGCTATCTTCTTAGTGCCATGTTAGTTCTTCCTAACGACCTCATCTCCTTTATTCTCAGCATCAACAGAGTTGGGGAGGGGAGGGAATCAATCTTGACATGGGTTCTGGAGGGAACAAACCACACTGAAGCCACAGTAGCAACCACGGCAGTGGCTGTGGCACCAGCAATGCAGAAATTGACCATTTCTCTCCCCCCAGGTGCCCCAGGAGGTGGCCCACGGGTGGTGTAAAGCGAAGGACATGCCTTACTTCGAAGTTAGCGCCAAGAATGACATCAATGTGGTCCAAGCCTTTGAGGTTCTGGCCAGCCAGGCTCTGCTGCGGGTGAGTGATGTAGGGGTGGAACCAGTCAGAACTGCCCTAGGCAGGAGTCCTCAGGATCTTCCAAAGAAGAAGAAGTGGGAGGAGGAGGGGATAGGAGTATTCAGCTTTTTAATTATTTAGTAGTTGGATGGGTTTGGCAATTCTGATGCCATGGATGCCAGAGGCATAAAGGACCTGGGAGTAAGTAGTTGGTCTCACAGTCTGGCCACCTGTCACGATCCCTTGTGGAGTACTTAAAATGTCAGTCCTGTTCCTGGTGCCCGGGGAGTCTAATTCAGTGAGGACTTGAGAAGTGGTCTCTAGGCCAGTCCTCACTGTGGGAGAGAATTCTTGTGGAGCCAAGCCTGTATGCAGTCAAGTGGAATTTCCAGCCTATAGGAGCTGCTGACAGCTTCCAATAGGAACGATAAATAGACCCAGGCACTTGCATGTGATGTCTTAGACAGCTTGTGTTGAGTGTGGCATCTGTGCCAGACACTGTGCAGGCAGCAGGGGTTTTTCAGACTCAAGAGGAAGACAAAGAGCATGAGTGACTGACACACAACTTTTGCACGGTGAAGCAGAAGCGGTGATGGAGTCCAGAGAAGGGATGTGGTGACAGCCCGTGTGATGGGAGTGGCCACTGAAGGGCCACTGAAGGTTGCCAGGAAGCTACTGTGGGTTTTACTTCTGTGTGTTTTGATTTGGTTTTTAGAGACAAGGTCTCACTCTGCAGCCCAGACTAAGCTCTAATTCACAGTCCCCCCTGTCTCCACCTCTACAGTGTTGGGGTCACAAGTATCTGCCACCAGGCCCAGCTAATGGCAGAACTTTAATGTTGCAGTGTGGGGGTTTGAAAGTTTGGCACAACTTGGAAATCTTCTGGTTGCCTCGTTCTGCCAACTCGAATTAAGAGAGGTTTCTTAAGAGAAGGAACAGGCATAGTGTCATGTGCCTTTAATACCGGTACTCGGGTATTAAAGCGGAGGCAGGCAGATCTCTGTGAGTTCGAGGCCAGCCTGGTCTACATGATGAGTTCCAGGACAGCCAGAGCTACACAGAGAGACCCTGTCTCAACCAAACAGAAAGAAATCATTGTCATAGCGATGGTTTTAAATGAGGAAATGAACAAGGAGAGGTTAGGAGCTTGGAGCCACCCCTAGGTTGAATGACTGCCATCACCCTGACCTCATTGTGAGTGACTGGCGGCCTACATGACCCTTGTTGTCCAGAAGAAAAGGTCTCAAGACCCTGTTGGGGACAAGCAGTATTTGCCTCCAGCAGCTGCACAAGAGAAGTTAAGAGCTTTCTCTGTTCACATGACACAGCTGGACCTCAGGTCAGCCTCCAGCTCTCACTGCCTCCTGAGAAAGAGCAGCAGAGAGTACCCATCTCAGTGCATGGCCCATGAGTGTGGCTTTGCCACAGGCAGGAAAGCAGGTTCCCAAGGTGCAGGTGAGCGTGCCTGTACCGTTAGCCAGGACAGCTTATCACAACTTATCAGGGTTATGTGATGCAGTTATTGCCAAACAGTCACAAAGAATCAGGGGAGAGTGTCCTTCCCTTCCTATTAAATTGGATTTAAGATATATCCTTCCTACAATGTCACTTTCATCACGTGAGGTCATTGGCAGTGCGTGTTCTGCTTGTGCTAGCTAACATCCTTTCTCTGCAAAAGAAGAGCTTGGCAAGTCACTGCAGTTCCTGATACTTGTGCAGGAGACTGAGCTGGGGCCTGGAGGTCATAGGCATGGTGTCCAACATCAGACTGACCTGGAGAAGGTCCTGTCCTAGTAACTTCACACGCATGCCTGTCAAAACATATGCCTGACCTGAGCCTGATTCCCTGTGTATAGAATGAAAACATCTCATCCCATAAACATTCCCTGAGCTGTCACGGGGGGTTCAGGATGGGGCCCTACAGTGCTCAGACTCAGGAGCGGGACACATGAGAGAAACAGAGGGAAGCAGAAGTGGTTAACAGAACCTTCTGCTCTTCCCAGGTTTGGGTCTCGTACCCATGTCAGGTGGATCGCAGCTTCCACAGCTCTAGCTCCAGGGGATCTGACCCCTGAACTCTGTCCCTGCAAGAATCAACACCTTATGCACATACCCATATGTAGGCTCGCACCACTACACATAATTAAAAAATTAAAAAAAATCCAGAAGCAGCAACAGCAGCCTTTCTGTCTGTGTTACCCATGGCTTTAGAGCCTGTAACCCTAACACCCAGGCAAAGGACAGAGGATTGATATTTCCAACCATGAGGAGACCCTGGCTTTAAAAAAAATGAAGGAAGAATCCATGGCCTTGGAGAAATCTTAGCCTTCTCTGGAAGCAAGGGATGGAGGTTCTTAGAAAGGAAGCCAGGTGGGCACCAAGGAACTTGTTGGTGGGCAGGGGCCTTCTCTGGTGTTTGTGGGGGCAGGAGTTTGGATAGTTGGCAGAGAGGAAAAAGCTGGCATGGAGACACTGAACTGGTAAGGCAAGTCTCCCTATACCTGGGATGGGACCTCATGGGACAGGTAGTCACCTCCAGATGCCAGAAGAGACAGGTAGGGCCCTGGGCACAAAGAATATTGGGGGTATTGGTGTGGGAAGTTCTTTTATCTATGTGTTGCTTTTATTGGTTAATGAATAAAGAAGCTGTTTTGGCCTGTGATAGGACAGAGTAGAGCTAGGCAAGGAAAACTAAGCTGAATGCTGGAAGAAAGAAGGCGGAGTCAGGAGATGCCATGTAGCCACCATGAGCCTTGTGGTAAAATATAAAATAATGGAAACAGGTTAATTCTAGATATAAGAGCTAGCTAGCAATATGCTTAAGCTATTGGCCAAACAATATTGCAAATAACATAGTTTCTGTGTGATTACTTTGAGGCTGAGCAGCCAGAAACAAACTAACAGCCTCCGACAACAGGCATTGGAATGTTTGTGGGACCAAGTATCCATCAGAGATGAGGGGCCAGCTGTCCATCTCTGCCAAAGCCCAAATGTTGCCTCACTTGTTCCTTTTGGGGAATGAGAAGTTATGGGACTAGAATTCCGGGGGCTGAACTCCTGTAGCCCTTCCACGGAAACTCTCTGGACTCCTGGGAAGAGGCAGCACAGGAAGGGAAAGGGAGCATGTGGGACGCTCGGGCTTCCCTTCTGGTCCTAGGTTTCCCAATAACATCACAGAAAAGATGGAAGGCGCAGCTCCCGGGGTCCATTGCGAAGCCACGAGCCAGGGTTTTTAGGCCTCAGGCTGTGACTACTGACTTCTCTTTCCTCCCCAGTACCAAGGCACTGTAGAGAATCACCTTGTGGACTCCATCAAGCTCTCACCAGGCCAGCCGAAGAGCAGATGCTGCTGACTTCTGGGCTCTTCCTCGGCCCCACCGGCAGCCGGGCAGGATGCTGACTGCAACCTCACCTCCACCAGCCCCCTGCATGCCCATACCGAGGCCGGAGGCTGCAGCAAGAGAGAATGCCGCAGGCCAGGACTCTTGACGGCTCAAGCTCTTCGGCCTCCTCTCCCCAGCACAGTCCTTTCTGCTCATCTCTGCAGACAGGCTGCTTCGTTGAGCCCTCGGACCTGTAGCTTGAGGATGGCGTTACAGCCCTGCTTCCATCAGTGGCCAGGCTGAGGAGCCAGGACACAAACCGAGCTTCTGCCCGCAGCTTCTTCCAGGGAGAACTGAGGACACTAGACAAAAATGATTGTTTCTGCTTCCTAGGTGCTCAAACAACTCCCACAACTGACCAGGCAGGCCTCGGCATATCCATCTGCTGGATGAGCCGTCCCAAGGTCCCCAACCAGAAGATCCATTTAGGTGCTGCGGACTTGCTGCTGCGGACTTGCTACTGCGGACAGACTCATTTACTCCTTCAGCAAGTATTGTTGATGCCTTTGATGCACATTGCACTGAGGATTGGTAGCAGTACAACAGACGGGAGTCCCGATTTCCCAAAGAAATCTGGAGAGACATGGAGTAGGACAGACAGAGCAATGAGGTGCTGTTTAGACAAAGGGGTTCATGAGGGCTTTCCTGTGGAGGTGACAGTTGGACTGACAGCTACAGCATGAGCTACAGGAAGAGCCTATCAGGAGAGGAAGCCACGAGGCCTAGGGTGATGGACAGCATGCTATATTCCATATGAAAGGTCTTTGCCTGAGATGTCAAAGCTGCTATCCGAGGAAATCCTGCTCCCAGAGAACACCGTGATGATTTGGTGACTGACCACCAGGGGGCAGAGGTGTCCTCTGCTTCCAGGCTGTGGTGTTTGTTCTGGGGACACTTGAAAGGCTGGTTTCTGTCAAGTAGATGGTTGAAGCTGTTCCCAGGCTCTGGGAATGTTGAACCTGGGTTTGTTGGGTAAGAATTCAAATGTTCTGAGTAAATCCTTCAGGATCCTTGATTCAGGCAACCAATCAAAATCAGAGACAAATCCCAGAGCGAGGTACCTGGAGAGCATAGAGATTCTGTGCCCCGCACATTTCAAGGTTAGAACCTGCTTTTCTTCTGGCTTCACACCACAGATAGGGTGGCTGGCTTCACACCACAGATGATAGGGTGGCTGGCTTCACACCACAGATAGGGTGGCCCAGTCTGAAGGAGACAGTCAGGATGAACCTTTATAGGGTTTTCCAATGTCAGGTTCATGCCCCATGCCTACCACGGGCATTTCCTGTCTCCACTGGAGTCTGCTTCCTCAGTCCCAGGGAGGACTAACGTGTTAATCTGAAACTATAGGAAGAAGCACCTGACTCCAAAGATTCACTGAGAGGATCAGGGCACTAACCGGGGACTCGAGGGCCCCGTCCACCCACGCCTAGCTCTGGAGTATAAAGCAAACCACCGTGGGCAACAGGCACAAGGACAGAATGTGCCTGTAGCACAGCACCGTCTGTGTCCTTCAGAGATGAATGCTATGCACGCACACACACGTGCACACATACACATGCACACACCCGTACACGCGCACACATGCACACACATGTACACGCACACACATGTACACGCACACACATGCACACACATACATGCATACACATCCACACGCGCGCACACATGCACACACATGTACACGCACACACACATGTACATGCACACACACATACACGCATACACATCCACACAATTACACGCACACACATGCGCGCACACACACGTGGCTCTCCTGGGAGTCAGACTGGGAAGGGATGTGTGGTGTGTGAGGGTGTGCATCCACACTAGCCTCACAGTGACCACATGGACTGTAGCTAAATGTACAGCTAGCAAGTGTGTCCTTTGATTCTACCCCTTGGGGAATAACAGCGCTTCCTGGTGGCAGTCTCAGTTACCCGTGGTCATCTGGGGGCCAAAAATATTAATAGTAAATTTCAGAAATAAATAACTTACAACTTCCAAATCACATGTCCTTCGACGAACGCCTGTGCCCTCCTGCCCAGGCCAGCCGTCCCTCTATTCAGTGTATCTACAGTGTGTGCCACCTACTCCAGTCACCTCGCTGCTGTCTCAGCTGCCACAGCAGCCTACGGTCATGTCACAATGCCTGTGTCCCTCAGCCCACTTATCTCAGCACACAGATACGGTGCAGCCCATGTTACCACAGAGGGATAAGGTTGAGAATGGAACAGTATTTTTCAAATACATGTCTGCATCGTTTTTATTATTGTACAGTCTCATAATCACTTATTTTCTTATCAATTATTGCTCATCTCTTGCCATACCTAATTTATTCACTAAGCTTGGTCATAGGCATGCGTGGATTGTGACTTTCAGCATCTGGGTCCAGGAGTACGTCCTTGGATAAGGAGAAACCATGGCGTTCATTTTTTAATTTAAAAAAAAAAAAAGAGCTGGGCATGGTGGTGCAAGCCTTTAATTGCAGCACGTGGGAGGCAGAGTCAGGCTAATCTCTGAGCTCAAGGCCCATAGTGAGTCCCAGGACAGCTAGAGTTACAGAGAAACATTGTCTCAAAAAACAACAACAGGCACCAGGGTAAGCACCAGCACTGTTTCCTGGGCATTGTAATGAAATCAGTTTGTTCAAAAAATAATAATCTCAAGACAGCAGCAACAGCACCAGACATGAAAGGCGAGTCCTCCTGAAGACAGGCCACCCACCCGCGAAGTGATCCTGAGACAGCAGTGAGCTCTCAGCCGGCGTGAAAGAGCGTTGGACACCCTGACGCTTTAAAGGGGAGGCTCCTCTACAGCCTCACCGAGCCCAGGGCACACATTCTGTGCTCTCTTCAGAGTCAGAGCGTGGGCTAAAAATTCCAAATGGGAGTGGGGACCTGTAGGCCTGGAGACTCACAACTATCCTGTCACAGCTAGGCGATGTGCCGACCAGTCCTCAGGGCAGAGTAACTGAGCTCACAAACAGAGCCAAAATAATAGCTCTTTGTGGGCTGCCACACCCAACTGTGACTCTGAGTTCGAGACCAGCCCTTAGTATCCATGCCAGCAAGCACAGGAACTTTGGCCCACCGCAGTGGCACCCACAGGAGGCCCAGGTAGGGGGTTGTGACAGAACATCCCAGGCCCTCTTTATTACTGTCCCTTCAAGGAAAAGACCTGACTCTTTTTCCTATTGATCCCATTGCCCCTGCTCACCACAGGTGGCTCAGCTGAGCACCCCTGGGCGGCTGCTGAAGGGTGAGAGCCCAGGCTAGTACTCCTGTGCCATATACCCTGGGGACTTGGGAAGAAACAAAGTCAAATCTTATCAAACAAACAAGCGTTGGACGCTAGGCCCCAGACTGCTCAAGAGGACTTGGGAAAATGCCCGTTTTCCCTGCCATTTGCTTCCCTATAACAGAGCTCTTCCGCCTCTGCCTAGCTGGTGGCCTGTCTATCCCTCAGTCACAGGTAGCTAGCTTCTCAAGCTCGGCCTGCAGTCAGACACCTGGCCTGGCACCCACGGTGCAGCCGTGTTTATAGATCAAGTCTGGCAAAGGCCATAACAGCCTCCCATTCTCTCACTCACAGTGACCAATGTCAGCGACACCAGAGCCACAGAGGGGACTTCCATGGCTTCTATTTACCCTCGTCTCCCGGGTCCAGAGCAGTGCTGAGAGCCACTGGGACTCCATAAGTAGCTGTGGAATGCACAGAACCTGCTATTGTTTGTTACGCTTCCTCTGCAGTCTCCTTGAAGGCAGGGCCTACTTTTGTTTTTGTTTGGGAAGAAGGGGTACTTTTTGCTGTTTGGGTTGTGGGTTGTGGGTTTTGTCTTTTGTTGTTATTATTGATACATAGCCTTGAACTTGGAATTTTCTGCCTCTCAGGCTCCCAGTCCCTAGGGAAGGACTGTTTCAATTCATCATTTTAAATTCTCCCCTTAGCACTCAGCTTTATAGATAGGTGGACAGGAGAGGATAAATGAATATTAGTCAGAGATAATGGACTGCTGCATAGTTATTTTTAATTAAATAAATTTGATGAAGACCAAAAACTTATTACTTTGTTTTTCAGCATTTCTGGTTTTTTTGTTTAAGAATTTCATGCACTCAGATAATGTGTTTTTATCAAACCCAACCCCCACCCCCTCGCCTTCCACTCCTCCCCTGCGTCTCACCCCTACCATTCTCTTCTTATGTGCTTTCTTTCTCAAATCCTCTGAGTCCCTCTAGTGCTGCCCCTGTGGAAGGGCAGCCTCCTTATAGCTACATCCTGGGAGAAAATTAGCTCCACTCCCTCCCCCCAGCAGTCACCAACTGCCTACCTAGAGTGATGGGATTTCAGGAGCCCCGCCCCGCCCCGCCCCATCCTCGCTGGGCTATTGGCTAGCTTGGTCTTGCGTGTGCAATCACACACAGCTATTCTTAACCCATGGTGTGTTGATACTTGAAAATTCAGAATCATGTATGTAATACCTTACCTAGTCTATCATAGAAAAAGCTTTTACATAACGAGAATTCTAGAAGAACAGGTGAGAAATGAATAAAAGTGGGTTACCTTTCATAGGAGAGTCCGGGCAAGTAGGATCGAGTCTTTACAAAGTACAGTCCTTCATTTTGCATTTCCAACTCTTTGAATGTGTTACTCAACCAAAAATCAAAAGGAAAGAAATAACCATTGGTGGGAGAGTGGAGGGGAAAAGAACTATAGAGAGGAGAGGCCAGGATCCACTGGGACTCAGCCATGACCTTGATGCCAAAGCAGATGAACTGAATTTTAATTAGAAAAAACACAAGGATTGCCTCGGTCTTACTCGGTTCTCCTGTGTCAGACCAGAAGTCAATTTCTCTTCTCCTAAGGGTCAGTCAATAACAGCACGTGTTTCCGACCTCAGAGGCTCAGCTGAGATAAACTATCAAAAGCGTGCCCTGCTCTGAACTACCAGGTAAACGACAGGCTGCGATATCTCCCAAGGTCAGTCTCAGGACGGCTAGCCGGTCAACACCTTGGAGCCCCCTAACCGCAACCCAAAGTAGCCCTTCAGAAGAATTTCCTTCAGTTTTGTTTAATTTGTGTCTTGTTTTGTTGTTTTGTTTTTCAAAACAGGGTTTGTCTGTGTAACAGCTCTGGCTGTCTTGGAACTCACTTTGTAGACCAGGCTGGCCTCCAAGTCACAGAGGCCACTCTCTCCGGAGTGCTAGGATTAAAGGTGTGCACCACAACCGCCTGGCCTGTTTTGTTTAATTTTTAAAGATTTGTTTGCTTTGCATATACGGGTACTTTGTGTGTGTGTGTGTGTTTGTGTGTGTGTGTGTGTGCGCGCGCTCAGGCACTACACGTGTGCCCAGTGCCGTGGAGAAGAAAAGGGCGTCAGATGGCCTGGAACTTGAGTTACGTAAGGTTGTGGGTGCTGTGCGTGAACACGGGTCCTCTGCAAGAGCAACAAGTGCTCTTCACTGCTGAGCCACCTCTCCAGCTGCCCCCTCCCCCCAGTTTTAAATGGAAACAGGTACAACGACTTTTAGTTTGTATTAAGCAAAATGGGCCCAAAGGCACAAGAGGTCCCCCTGTACACACAACACTTCTGCTGGGTACCTCTAAGGATGGGATCAAGAGTTTCTTTTGTGGCCTTGTTTGTAACAGAAAAAGAAAAACACATGGAAATAATCTAGATAACCTTCTGGAGAAAACCAGATGGATAAAATGTGATCTAGCCCTCGTGAAATTCCACGCTGAGGGAATAGACAGAGGATTCCCATGGGCACGGATGTATGACCCTCAGAGGGTGAGGAGGACAGCAGGCCGAGGAGAAGACACATTGTAAAATGCCTCAGTCACGTCCAGGCCAAGCAAAGTTAAATGGGGTCTTCTCTCTTGTGGGTCAAAAACATGTGTGGCAAAGCAACAACCTAAACATAAAATTAAGGCAGTTGTGTATCCAAAATGCCAGTGGAGGTCAGAGAAGAGAGAGCAGGCTATGGGGCCTGGAGAGGCCGGTGAGGTGACGTGGCCGAGTGGAAATACCGTATCACCTCAGCTCGTGATGAAGTCATTTTATCATGAAGCTGTGTATCATGGGTGGGTGTTAGTGCACAGACCTTTTCATGACTCAAATAATCCAATTTCCAAACCTACACCACACCCTAACCTTGGGAGTCACACAGCCCGGTGTGCGACATGACTACCACATAGTAGGTGTTCAACAACTGGTCGTGATAAACAATTATGGGGGCATGTAATTCGGGTTTGCTTGGTTTTGCTGAGACAGAGTCTAACTGTGTAACCCTGCCTGTCCTGGGCCTTACTCTGTAGACCAGGCTAGTCTCAAACTCACAGAAACCTGCCTCCCTCTGCCCCACAGGTGCTGGGACTGAAGACATACACCCCTGCACCCAGGTGTGCTGGCGGCACTTGTTTTAAGTCTATGTATGGAGAGTAATATATTGTGTTTAGTATGTGTCTTAGCTATTTGGGTTTGATTACGGAAACTAACACTCTCTAACTAAAAAACAGATGTTTGTGACTTCAGCCGTAGGCTCAGATCGCCACTGTCCACCGAGGGCACAACAAACAAAGGTTGAA